TGAAGAAAAGGCAATTCCTATGCCCTCTACCCGATCAAGTCCTCCTTGCCCCCTCCTCCACGCGTCCCAGCTCGGCAGCAAACCTCTGGCTTGCTGCGCGAACCTTACGGGTCACTGCTTGTGGTAGGACAAGGGCAGTGTATTCTTGGAGGGCTTGATCGAGATAAAGACGTGCAGTAGCAATATGTTGCCACCGGCCTTTGGCCAATAGCTGATCAAAATGCATGCCCTGAACATAGGCTGCAGTGGCTCCTCCCCGTCTTAGACTATAAGGAAGGTAGTTGAAGCTTTCCAGGCCGAGGCTTGCGTCGCTGACAGAGAGCCCGCAAGCAAGCAATGGCGCTTTTCTCAGTGAGAACTACCTTCTCACTCTTCAACAGATTTCGTTGTGACGTTTTGGTGTCATGCAGAAAAAGGATCGCTGACTGTCCTTCCTTTCGTGGGAGAACCACATCTTGCCGGCGAAGTTGAAACATCTCTCCTGTTCGTAGGAGGCCACAAAAAGCTACCATAGTTAGCTGGGCTTAGCGGGGCCACTGCCACTGCCATAGGGTTCCAGCAAAAGCCAGGACCAAGTCCGGACAACTTGTTCCATAAGGAAACCAACTGCCATGCGGCTTTTAAGCGTCCTCTGAGCTCTGGCCTTCGATATTGAACAGCGGCCATCACATAATTAGCCATTGTCTTGGGATCTCCTTCTTCCCAGAGGAACTCCACATATTCACAAAGCACTGATTCAAGGTCTGCTCGTTTCAGCAGCTGTACCTCTGGGCTTCCCACAAAGGTACTCAAGCCATGCAAGGCATCTGCATATCTTTCTGCAGTTGCCAGTGAAACTCTTTGTTCCGACAACCTTCCCACTTTCTGCCTTTCAGCCTTGCGTTCTGCCTTCGTGTCCTTTCGCTTAATCTCCCTTCTTGGCATCCTTCTCAAAACGCCTGCTTGGACCATCCGCAGGATTCAATCGGGATGCGATCCAAGCCCATAAGGGGAAGAGATTCAAGGCGACACACAAGGCTGAGATCTTCCGCAAAATGCGACTGATCTTTCTTGAGCTGCTTCGACCTTTTGTCAGCACAGCCAGGCAGATCTGGGAATCCGACAGGTGAAGAAACCTGCAGGAATGAAAGGAGGCCGATCGGGCCCGCCACTCTAGGCTCCTCAGGATGGCCCTCAACTCCAAAAGGTTGATATGCTCATCTTGGTGCCACTTGTACGATTGGGCTGTCTTCCAAACCCAGCGCCCCGGATCAACTGTCGTCCGGGTGACCGCATCAGGACGGTACACCACCTGCAGGTCCAAGCGAACATCACTTCCTCGAAATTCCATCCTCCGGAGATACTGGTGAATCAGCCGGACGTTCAACAAGCGGGCTCCTCCATCCTTTCCGAAACTATGTCCCGCCAAACGAAGCCATTGCTCACGCTTGGGGTTCCGGGCCATCTGCGCCTGGGCTTCTTCCTCCTCCTTGTCTCTTTCACTCTCGCTAACATGCGTCGTGGCATCGTCCTTTTCTCCAATGTCATTGAAGCTTCTGACGGCCATCTCCTCGTGCCACCTCTTCACTATGGCACTGGCTCCCTTTGGGTCAGTTCGGGCTTGCTTCTTCCATAGCCATAGGTCCATCAAGCAAGCCACAACCACAGCATGGAAGCTATTTCCGATAGCCGCCTCTCGAGCCACTGACTGCTTTGTTTTCTCCTCCTCCGTATCTGCCTCTTTTCGAAACAGGGCCAAGGTATATCCCGTGGGATACCCCATCAACCTCTCTCTTTCGGTCGCTGATGCCACTCGTTTCACCTCTTCTCCTGCGGCATGATGGAACAGGAACTCAGGTCTGTAAGTGTACGGCGGAAACTTCATCCTATCCTCCTTCCATCTGTCTAATGTGCTCCGATCACAGGACTGCAGCCCTGCTGGCTCCTTTGGTGGATTTCTTCGTGGAATGGCTCGGGTGAACGTGGGTAGCCGCAGGTTCTTGTTGACCTCAGCCGCCGGCCAAAACCACTGCTCATCACACACCGAACCCAAGGGCTCCAGCTCCTCGTTGAACTCTATCACATCGTAGGGCTCGTGGTGGTTCAACTGAAAGCTAGCATGGTCATCCAAGGCTACATTGCACCAATACAATCTTGGACGGCGGACACATGACAAGCATCCTGAGCAAACGTGCACCGGACGGCATCCCAGCTGCTGGCTCATTTCCCGGATGTCCGCGTCATCTCCAACCACATTTTCCACCATCAGGACCGACCATACTTTCATTTCTCGTGCCAGGTCCTCAATCCATCCCAGGATCTCCACATACTTGTAGAACAATTGAGATCTAGGGTCTTGAAGATGAATTCGGTCCACATTCAACTTTGATAGACCTTGGCAGGGGGAGCCGCCCCCAGCAATCACCCCAGTGAGGCCTGGCACACTCCTCATGTACTTCTCAACCTCAGCTTTTGTCACCTTCGTGATGTCAGTTATCACATCGCATCCAGGCCATCTCGCTTTGTTCAGCCTTCGGCATTCAGGATCCTTCTCAATCACCACCAAATGATCCACCTTCTGTCCGGCCAGCTCCAGCGCTCGACTCAGGCCTCCTATGCCTGCAAAGAAGTCGAACACCAGAACACTTTGGGGTTCATCCAGATTGATACCCTCGCCGCCAACATCATCTTCTTCCTCCTCCAAGGCGCACATTTCTCTGAGACCACGGGAGGTCAGCTTTGATCCATACACAGAGCCACCACCTGTTTCACTGGCATCAGAGGCCGTCACCACTTCATGCAGTTTCGCCCTCAAGTCAGTCACTCTCAGAGGCTGACTGCAACCTGCCATCAATATCTCCTCTACTGACTTGGCTCCCAGTTCAATCAGGACCTCCCCATCCGAAATGTCCTTCCATAGATAGTCGAAAACTCCAAACAAAGGTCGACGGAACTGCAACGTGTGCACCTCTCGTCCCAAAAATACTTGCAATCCTTTCCGGGGTACCTTCTCTTGCCTCAGCAGCCAAAAGCTCAGCGACAGGCTATCCAGCGCTCTCTTCATCGATCCTTGAAGGGTTCCTCGATCTCCGTCAACCACGGCTCCGAGCTTCTCGGCCCTCCGAGCCCTCTGCAAGCTCTTTTCTTTCGAGTACGGTACCCCCCATTGCGCATAGGCCCGTCTCAGGGCTTCCTGTTCTTCCGAGCTTTTGCCTTCCAGGTCTTCGGCCACTCGTGCCTCCATGATCTCATAGAGGCTGGTGTCATCGAGATACAGAGACCATAACTTATCTTCCTCCTCCAGGTTGGGAAAGACGCTGTCTCGTCGTATCTCACACTTTCCCAGCAAACCTCCTCCGCCTTGCAAAGGTGATCGCAGGGCCAACCTCCTATGGGCATGCTGCAGCACTCCCACGGCCGACGCCCAACCCATTGGGAGCACAGCCGCCCCAATATAGGTTTCTCCTTCTCGCTCTACTCCCAGGCTTCTCCAGCTTACCTTTTCTGCAAACGTCATCATCTCAGGCCAACCCGGTGGGAGAGCAAACAAATAAAAGGCTGACACCAGATCATCGGCGCTCATCCTCACTACCTTGCCCGCCGGCAGAACCACATGCTGTAGAGCCGGGGCTCCTGTCAAGCTCCTCACATCTCCCTCAAGAACTCGGGTCGCCGCGTTTGTACCTCGAAAATCCATGATCAGCCTCAAGACCGGTCGCTCATCATCAAGGTACTTGCCCGGCTTTGCCACCCCGAAACTACCATTCACCA